TTTACTGAGAAAAATGGTGACGTGTTCAATACTTATTTTACTCGCTGTATATACTATATATATACTGTATATAAAGAAGAGAAAACACACAAAGAAGAAAAAACAAACAGTTTGAGAAGGGACAGGATGGAACAACTAGCTTATCAAGTCCTGTCTCTTCTTACAACTTAATCATCCAAAGTGACAATAGAAACACTTACTTTTGTGTATACCAAAAATAAAATACTTATGAACAAAATCTTATTATATAACGAATATCTTCATAATTATAACTGATTTTGCATATACATACGCACACATAAGTGTATGCATTACACCAAAACACTGTCATATCCTGATATATCAATGATTGTTCATATCTGTATTCAAATGTTTTTAAATTATTTCACATTTTCAATTCAAGGATCTTTGAAAGAAACTGCATCAGTAAATGTTTTATCTCAGCTGTAAATGTAGCTAATAATATGTTTAACACTCATTTCAGGTGACTGATATTGCTGATGCCATGATTCTAAAGCAGCTTTTTGAGAATCTGTTTCTGAACGGTGTTGTTGTCGTGGCAACCTCAAATCGTCCCCCTGAAGGTGATTCAAAAAGCTTTAACATCATTTCTGACCTAAGAGTGGGAGTTTTTACAAAAAAAAAACTGTTAAATGGATGAGATGTTCAACCACATTTATGAGAAAGTTTCTACACTGTGTTAAATGGAAATAAAAATAAAAATCTCATAAACAGATTTTTATTTACAATGAAACACAGTAACCATACCAAAAGTTTAAACTAAGACACTGTACCGTTATTTTGGAAAAAATAAAGTTCTGAATTTGAAGGCAGAAATGTTTCTCTCTGTGAAACACCTGCTGTTTTACCATCAGTCTGTAAACATCTAGGACCTGAGGAGACCAGGTGTTGGAGGTTCTGGAGGAACTAAGATCAGGGGTCTCATGTATAAAAGAGTGCAAACTTTTCACACTAAAAGCTGACATACGGACAAAAGTGGAGAAGTGCGATTGCACAAAAATATTCAGATGTACAAAATCATGCATGTATCTGCACTCCTTTATACATCCCAATGAACATGGAACTGACGCACCTGAGGCTCCTCCCCCAAAACACCCCCATTTCTATCTGTAACATAGATGCAAATGTACGGGGCCCGCGACGGGACATGGGGGATTTTTTTCTTTTGCGTTCCCTCGCAATACTTTTGCGTTACCTCACAATACCTTTGCGTTTCCTCGCATTATTGTTTTGCGTTCCCATGCATGCAAAACTTTGATTTGTATATGAACTGAATTAAATCAGACTTTTATTTTGAAATATCCGGTTGCCAAAACAGGATGTGTCGCCACAAGTTCGTAAAATTGACATTGATTGATTGCGTGGCTGCACTGTGTTAAAATATCAACATATGACATACTTCCATGCGTGGCTGTGTGATATATTCATTTTGAAGCTGAATTAAAGCAGTAGGCTAACTCGCTAATGGTGAACATRTGARTTTGTTAATAAACCGGCAGGCACAACAGTGATTAACGACTTTTACGAGAGAACACAAAAGGTATTGCGAGGTAACGCAATACTTTTGCGAGGGAACACAAAAGGTATTGCGAGGTAACACCATGCTTTTGCGCGGGAACACAAAAAGAAAAAAAATTGTCCATGTCCCCTCGCGGGCTCAGCACAAATATGTCCAGTCTGTGAGATTCTCCTAACTGCGCTATGGGAAAATGATGATTTAAGTGGAGAATGAGTGAGAAAACTGTCTAAATATGTAGTGGGCTGTAAAAATGGATTTACTACATGCAAAGAAATTGTGAATGTGTAAATGACTGTAAACACAGAGGATCTTATGAGTAAATGCCAGAACTTATAGCTTTATTTATTAAAGGGGACCTATAATGCAAAAATTCACTTTTTAAAGGTTTTTTTACTCAACTTTGGGTATGTACTTCTTAAAAAAACAGTCATAGGAGCAAAAAAATGCACCCAGGGGCATATTTACTGTAAGTAAATGTATTTTTAATGTATATTAACGACAAGTTTTATACTTCCGTTATTTATACAAGCCGTACGACAACCCACCGGAACCTGCTTTCAGCCCCTTACCTAGCAACCCCCAGGTGAAGCTCCACCTCCTCAGTATAAAAAGCCATCACTGTGTTGTTGTGCAATGCACAGCTCATTTCACAACAAGCCTCCAACAGGGCAATGGGTAGAGTGTTGGACCAGAGAACAGGAGACCAGGGTTTGAGACCGGCACAGACACAATTTAATTATTTATTTATTTTTGTTCGTTATGAACACGTTTTCTCATGTACCTCTATTGTTTAGCTTATTAAAGCCTTGTTAAAACCTATTTGTTCGAGTTTCTGAGGTACTTTGACCGCTGCTGCTCCCTGCTCTGGTAACAGCATGCAGAGTGAGCGCAGAGCAGAGGAGCAGGAGGAAAAAAAAGCTGGGACCGACTCTGCCTCTGGGTCTCATATGGTTGTACAACGGAGCTTCTGCTATTATTAGCCATGCTAACGTAAACGCTGGCTTTGAGGGGCGGAGTTAATGTCAACAGATTTTTGGAGGGCGTTACCAACAGAGCTCATTAACATAAACAGCTCTTCTGAAGGGAAGTCAGAGCAGGCAGAACTAGAAAATGGGAAATTTTATTATCTGAGAATTATTTTGTGCATTAAATTGAATGAACATGGTCTGGATAGCCCACAGACATACCATAAAAATTTCTAGGACCCATAATTGGTCTCTTTTAAATATTTCATGTGAAGAAATGAGTCGCAGCGCCTCAATGCAGAGTTTCTGCTGCAGGGTAGGATTTATATTTTAGAATCATGAAGTCTGTCATTCAGCTGCGTGGCTCGGCTCAGAACTACAGTCAAATACCTTTTTGTTCAGTGTGATTCTAAAAAAACACGCTGCCTCCCAATTCTTGGGCCATCATTAATAGATTTACTTCTAGTGATGTACAGATTGATACTGAAATATCGATCCTACCGATACCAGAACTTTATGTTCTAGAATTGATACTAAAATCAAACTATCTATACTTTGATACTTCAGTTATTTCACTTAATGTTTTCACATTATCAGGAAAATAGTGGAAAATAACTAAACTATTCAAATCTTGTCTAAATCAAATGTGGTTGGAGGGAACTACTTTTTCTTCCACTTGGGTATTGCATAAGCACAGTGACACGTGCTCAGTCACTCAGTCTGTAGAGGTATGGCAGGTCATTTTAACATAAAATCTGCTTTGTCTAATTGTAATTACATTCTAGTTCTCAAACTTTTTCATGCCACGGCCCCCAAACAGGATTAGTTCTGGCCAAGGACCTTGCGAACCCACAAACAATGCTACAAAATATACAAAGTAACAACTTTTAGACTGTTTTCGCTCACTTTTATTCACTATTCAAAATTATATTTCTTTAGAATAAGAATTGTGCTAAATAAATATAAGGTTGGTGTTAAAAAGACTTTTAAATTAAATAAATTACTATGTCATGTATTTTTTATGAAGCAGTTTTTTAAAAAACGCTGCTTTACCAGGCACATTATGTGTGTTATCAAAGTATCAGTATCGGATCAGTATCACCGATACCAGCCAAATTTTACTCAGTATCAGTATCGGAAAGAAAACTGGCAGTATCGAACATCACTATTTAATTCCTAAAGAGTACTTTCTGAAAGTTTCAACTATTCAAGCTGAATTATACAGGATATACAGTAAGTCACAATAAAGGTGGATAAAGATTTCAAATCTTGTAAGTTTTTGTATTTAACAGGAGTTGTTTTTTTACAGTAAATCTTTTGTTTGCTCGTCCCTCAGACTTGTATAAAAACGGACTGCAGAGAGTCAACTTCGTGCCTTTCATTGCAGTGTTACAGGTGAGAAAATAAACAATAGTTTTTCTACTAAATATAAAACATACACAGAAAAAAAATTTTTTTTGGTTTCAGAAATATTGCCAAACTCTTCGCCTGGACTCTGGGATTGACTACCGCAAACAAAATCGACCCTCAGCTGGAAAACTCTATTTTCTGTAAGAGCTGTAGTTCAAGTGTGGATTATTGTCAGTTTTCTGTCTGTAAACATTTCCTCTCTGTTTTTTGTAGCTCCAGTGAGCCTGACGTTGAAGCAACACTAGATAAGATGTTTGACCAGTTGGCTTTTAAGCAGAATGACAGTAAGTGAAGATTTAACAAACATTTGTGTGATCATGTCTCCATCACTGAACGCATGAATCCTTTCTCTGCAGTAACACGACCGCGGGTTTTAAATGTTCACAATCGTAAAGTGCGCCTGAGGAAAGCATGTGGGACCATTGCCGACTGTACGTTTGAGGAGCTGTGTGACAGAGTGAGTCCTGATACTTTTAAAGCTGAGTCAGCATTTACGCTCCTGGTTTTATTATTCTGTACAGAAGAATATTACTTATTTCAAACGTCAAAATGTTCAGCTCAGTTAGAGTTAATGCAGTGTTACCAACTCCTGAGCAAGAAAAGTCCCTATTGGCTGTCCTAAACATCACTAGAAGTCGCTAGATGACATAATCACTTAATTTTCATAGTTGGATGTTTGCCAATAACTGTGATCTGAGCTATAAGAGAGATGATGAAGAGAAAAAAGTGAATAAAAACACTAAATATGTTTAGAACTGCAATTAAACTTAATGAAATAAAAATAATTTTTTTAATTTTAATGCTTAGATCCACATAAATTAAATTTGTGGGAATCTTAAATTTCATCTGCAGACAGTTCGATGTCAGGAGACACAGGGAGGAAGAGGTGAAGTGACTGATCTGTCAGTCAAACACAGAAGGGTCCACAGATTTAGTTTACAGAGACAGTACCAGAGAAAACCATTACAATAAATATTACATCCCACTTTGTAAACCAGACAGAAGCAGTCGCAGCTTTGCGCATGCGTGATTCATTTGCAGCGGTCTCTCCTCTCAGCTGACTTCAGCCAGGGGTGGGGGTAGGGGTGGGGGTTGCTGCACGAGGCTTCAGTGAGTCGGATGGCTTTAGGAAGGGGGAGGGGCTTACCTTCTCGCTCGCTGCTTGCGGAGGAACAGAGGAGGAAAGGAAAAAAGTGCTTGGAAAATGCTGTCGACAAATCTCCTAAAAGTCTCTAAAAACATTTGTCGGACAAATCTAGCGACTTTTTTCTCAAAAAGTCACTAAAGGGGTCTAAAAAGTTGCTAAATCTAGTGACAAAGTCACTAAGTTGGCAACACTGAGTTAATGTGGTGATGATTCCCGGTTTAACTTTATAGTAAAATGTTTACTATCAGAAATATTTCCTCCATGGTTTATGTGGAGTGGGGATGGATAAAGAACCTGTGTGAACAGAGCCTCTGATGGACCCAGAGCTTTCCCMATAAAGACACTGAGCTTTAATCAAAGCAGTAAATCCTCCTGAGGTATTTCACTCAGAGATAACTTAGTTATTTTTAATTCAATTCAATTCAGTTTATTTATATACAGTGGTTTGCAAAAGTATTCATACCCCTTGAACTTTTCCATATTTTGTCACATTACAACCACAAACATAAATAT